AAAAAATACCAAAAAATAAAGAACATCAACATAATTAAGAAATTGCATCGACTAATGGGCAAAACAGCCAGCCAACATGTGTTTTTAGCTTAGTCTTCATTTTCCCTTCTGCCGGAGTTTTTGGCCTTAATACCACAATGTATTCAATGTTTTGTTAGCATTTATCATCAGCTCTCGTTGGAAACGTTTATGTTTGATTAATATGAACAAAAATCATGAGCTAATTAGGAAGACAAGTATAAAGTTTCTACTGTAAAGAATTATTCAGTTATTTTAACTACATGGAGAAGTTTTTCATATTCTAGCAAGTAGTTGAAAGACTTCTAAGCCTTTTATTTTCAACAAGTTACTAGTAGAAGAGCTTTCCATATACTCTTGGGCCCAGTATTTGCTTACCTATTTCTTGTGTATCATATGAAACCTACACAGAAGCAATACATGTTTTATAATATTAAATATATGATCATCTAATACTGTAGGAATGTGTAAGATAGTCTATCATTATTGGATTATGAAACTATACATAACTTGAATTGAATGTGATTAAGTTCAGCCTTAAAGGGCCTACGGCTAAGTCATAAAAAGAAGAAATGTGTTTTATATTTTCAAACAAACAAATGCAGCCAAACACTATGACTTCCACACTCAGCCATAAAAAGTACAGAGCTGCTGTTAGAAGCTTGCTCCAGAGTTCACCTTCTGTTTTATCATGACATGTTCTTCTTTAAGAGTTATCTGAACCCCACTCAGTTCAGTTTATGTTCATTTCCTGCAGTTCTGTCTTCAGTAGAGAAAAGGGACAGTTGCTTTCTTATAGTTGGAGAAAATCACTGTCAATTCTAATTTTTCTTCACGCTAGATATACCACATTTAAAATTTTTTTCTTGCATTTGTCTCTTCTTCTTCTTCTTGAATTTCTTTTCTACTCTTTCTATCTTAAGGAAGGGTGACAAGCTGAATTGAATTTGGACAATGATAGATACTAAATCTAATGACAGTCTTACTCTATGCCATGTGTATATTGGTGCCCAATATAATTATAGTAACTAGAAGGTAGTTTTTGTGGCCTTTTAAAAAAATAGCTAAGTTCAAACTGTCATTCATCAGATATATATTTTTTAATCCATAAGTGTATACTTTGTGTTTAAACATATTAAGCTTATTTTTAAAAGAATTACTTAAAATATATTTTCACATGCATTAGGTTGTATTTATTAATAGCAGGTACAACTTAATTTCAGCCCTATGTAGATATACTTGGAAATACAAGTATTTTGAACTTAGCTTCTAATTGCTTATAACTGTTATTTATTTAAAGCACCCAGGGTTAAAGCAAAGTTTTGCATTCTTCTTTCTTCCTCCTTGTTCATTAAGCCAAGTTTATGCGTTTCATTAAGTCAAGTGTATGGGGTTCATTCTCTTTTGATTTTAAGATGTTTAAAGAAAGAGTTCTCTAATTTTACAAATCTTAAATAATGTATCTGTCTCATCCTTAGAACTACCTTAGTAATAACAAGTATTATAGAAAGGTACTTAGGTTAAGAGGGCTACCTGATACTTATTACTTCAAATTGTCTTCATTCTTTGTTATAATAATCAAACATAAGATAAAAATAATGTGAAGTCTGTAGGAAATTTAACCAAACCTTAATATTTTAAAATTTTGTAGACAGTCATAATACAATTATATCAAAATATTGCCCCCAATTTCTACATGATTTAAGTAGCAATTCTTATTTAGTAGAAAATAATTTAAAAATATGTTGGGATTTCATCAAAATAACTGTTTCTACTATTTTTTTAAAAAATAGTTTCAGGACTTTACCCTCTCACCAGTCATTTGAAAAGGAAAAATCACTCAGACTTGTCAAGATTTTTGCTCAGAGAAGAGCAAATTTTTCATCTAGAGTATTCTGAATCTGCAGTTTTATAAACTAGCCAGTTGAAGCAATGTGAGTGAGTCTTATAAAGAGAAGGTTCTAAGAAAGGAAGATTTCTAATGAGAATGAAAAATATAACTGAATGACTTGACTTACAGGTACTGATTCTATCTTCAGGTAACACGCGTCAAGTCTGTAGGGAGGCTGGACCCTTTGTTTGTTGTCTGATAGAATCCTGATCTCAATGACAGGATGCATTTTTTTCTCATTTCACTATTTTCTATGTATCAACACAGGAGGCTATTGGAAGAGTATTTCTGTGCCTGTACATTCATTTCGGTTTTAAATTTGAGTGTGTATTTTTTGTGAACTGGAAATGTGAGATAGTTTCACTTTAGATAATCTGGTTTGATCATGGCAAAGCACCTTTCCTCATTTTATGACTCTTCTTTTAATCGGCTCACAGATTTACTGTGACTGTTGAGTAAGATTAGCATGTGTCTTTTTGTACCATGCACATGTACAGGAAAGTCTGTAAAACGTCTTTTGTTCTCCCTAGAGCCTGTGTGTGTTCATACCACCAGGGAAAAAGGAAGGAAAACCCCGCCCCATCCCTGCTGGGCCCATCACCCAGGGCACCACCACCTCTGCTTATGTGGCCAAGTCCAGGAAAACACTGCTAGCAGAAGACATCCTTGAAGTAAATGGCTTTTTGACTCTTTGCGATATTTTTAACCTAAAGTATTTAATTAAGAAAGATGGCATATCATTTTGATGTTATAACTTAGTTTCATTTTAAAAAGCATTAAAACTGGGTAGAGATCAATATATTAATGTGTAAGTTAATGATTTGTACTCAGAAAATTCCTCTTACTCACTTAGAACTAGACTTGAACAGTTCTTATTTCAACACATGCCAGTTCAGTTAAACACAAAAATACTGTATATATTTATATTAATGTAAACTAAATGATTCCTGCTTTGTTTCATATTTTGCTAGGATGCATATGAATGAGTTAGCTATTGCTGTATGACAAACTACCTCAGATTTTAGTGGTATCGTACAGTAGCCACATGTTGTTTCTTAGGAATCTAAGGACGGGGTCATTCTGCTGATCTGGACTGCTGTCCGTTGTGCTTGCCCAAGCGTCTGAGGTCAGCTGGCCACCAGTTAGGTGCTGGCTGGCCTCTTATGCCCTCTGCTTTCCATGTGTCTCTCACCCAATTCTAGCAAGGCTATGCTGGCATGGTTTTGTGATGGCAGCAGGAGTCCAAGAGAAGTAGTGGGAACATACAAATGAGTTTTCAAGCCTCTGCTTCCATCAGATTTACTACCCTCCCATTAGCCAAAGCAAATCACATGGACAGGCCAAGAATCAGTATTGATCACTGACAAAGGACATAGATACAGAGAAACAAGACAAAGCGGAGCCCTCAGTCTAGTCTTCCACAGTACATGTGGACATTTTAATGAAATTTTGCTACATGGAGTATAGATTTTAAAGGTAACAGTGCAAACAAGTACATAGGTATAAAAAATTGCTCTAAGTGCTAATAGGAGTCATGAAACCCTGGTTTTAATTTTGGTTTTTCCACCGTTATATGTATGACCTTGAATAAATTGGGTAGCTAGAGGAAGAAAGGAAGATATGGAAGGAGGGAAGAAAAAAGAAGGGAGGAAGGGAGAGAAGAAGAGAAGGAAGGGTCCATGCTATATAAGTTCTCGTTTGAAAATGTTCTGTTGTGTATGTAAGCTTTCAAAAGATCTGTAAATTACAGAGCTATACTATGTCATGAAGTTCTAATTCATGCCTGATAGCTTCCTACAGACAGTAGAAATTGAATAAATAGAATTGGTGCTTTTGATATTAATTCATTCAATTTCACTGTACTTCCTTTGAGTAAATTTGCTAAGCTAGAAAATTATTAAAATCAGTGAACCAGTTTCATTTCTTATGATAAATAATTGATCATTATTAGATGATTTGAACAGTTAATATGGGTCTTTGAGATTCAATTCGAACAATTGTTATTAACACACACTTGTGTTATTCTAGACTTAAAAATAGAAAAAGCTTATATATAATTTTCTTCACATAGTATTTACATTTGGAGTAATTTTCTCTGTGGCATTGTACCTGTAAACACCCTAAGACTGTTCTGGCACATAGAAGACGATGAATAAATGTCGGCATTTATGATTATTTTTATTATCATATGGAATTAACAGTCATTCATTAATTAAATTTATACTGCATAGGGATAAAGAAATATTAAAGCAGTGTTTGGGCATAAGTTCCATGAAAAAGTAAGCATTTTCTTACATAAGATTTATGGTGGCTATCGTCATTTAGTTTTTCTTTGAAAAGTACTGCTTATTATTGATTACAAGTATCATGGCAATTTCTGATAGAAATAGGAATTAACTTAATGATCATTTCACTGAATTTATATCTTTTTCTCTTTTTGTTTTTCAGGATGAACGATTTCCACGAGGTACTGGACTGGAATCAGGGACTCGCATCCAGTCTGTTCTTTGCTTACCAATTGTCACTGCAATTGGTGACTTGATTGGTATTCTTGAGCTGTATCGGCACTGGGGCAAAGAAGCCTTCTGTCTTAGTCACCAAGAGGTGAGGTCTTTAAATGCTGCTTGTTAGAATTTTTAGTCCTACCTAGCTCATTGAAGGTGCTTGTTAGTATTGCTAAGTAAAACTAAACTGAAAATATGTGAATTAATATTTAAAATCACAGTTTGCTTAACAGTGTTTTGATACTAATAATGATGATTTTAAAACCTGTTTCTGTTTGGAGAGGAAACTGGTTACATTAGAAATATAGTCCTTTTGTTAAGTAAGAATAAGAATTGAGGTTGGGTGCAGTAGCTCATGTCTGTAATCACAACACTTTGGGAGGCTGAGGTGGGCAGATCACGAGGTCAAGAGATCGAGACAATCCTGGCCAACATGGTGAAACCCCATCTCTACTAAAAATACAAAAATTAGCTGTGCGTGGTGACACATGCCTGTAGTCCCAGCTACTTGGGAGGCTGAGGCCAGAGAATCTCTGGAACCCAAGGGGCAGAGGTTGCAGTGAGCTGAGATCGTACCACTGCACTTCAGCCTGGGCAACAGGGTAAGACTCTTTCTCAA